GGCTCGGTGGAGCAGTTTTCTGTTTGCCCGATCCTGCTGCTTCGTCCTGTTTGCCGAGGCTGTCCAGAGCAGTTGCGCAAAGCTCCTGATGGCCAGGGGCTTCAGGCACGATGACCTTTTCCCTTCCGCTGCAGCTAGAGACAGAGGCTGCTGCTGGCAGATCAGGCAGCTCGCGGGTGCCGCTGGCAGATGTTGGTGCCTCAGCTGCAGGCACGTGCTGTGCTGCGGCTGCCTGAGCCACTGCCTGCTCTGGTGGCAAGGTGGGCACGCTGGCCGTGTCTCCCTGCAAGACGCTTCCGCGGGACAGCGTCTCATTGCCTTCCGCATCGTTTGCCTGCAAGAGAAGGCAAGGAGAAAGGCCGAGTTACTTTGGGCTCTTCCGTGTGTTGTCCTCCATGGCCCTGCTGCAAATGCTCCTGCAACCTGTCCTGGTGGCGCAGCTGCATGGGCCGCTGCCATCCCAGAGCTGGCTGGGAAGAGAGCAGCTCCTCTCTCTCCTGGCTCAGTCTGACATGGAGACGGCCCGGCCGTCTCCTCTAGCAAGTCCTGCTGTTTGCCAGCTGCCTGCTTGTCAGCACCTGGTCTCCCTGGGTCTCCCTACCTGTGCCTGGTGGCTGCCGTGTGGAGCCGGCAGCGGCGGCAGCCTGTCCTCTCGGAGGGAGGATTCTGGGCTCTGGCTGCCCGCTGTCATTGTGTGAGGTGGCCTGCGGATCACCTGCGGGGAACAGAAGGAGAGGGATTGAGCGCCCACACTGGCCCGACAGCACCCGCTGTGCCACCGGGCCCACTGGGCCCACTGGGCCTGGGCCTGGGCTTTGCCTGCCCCATGGATGGCAGAGCTGAGCGTGGCCAAGCTGCTCTCTGCCCCTCGTCTCCAAGCTTCCAGGGCCACGTGGGCCTTGGCCTTCCCAGGCATCGTTGGCTCTGTGTGGAGATGCTCCCAGGTGTCAGGAAGCGCAGTGCTCAGGCTGTAAGGTGCTCAGGGCCAGCTGGCCGGCTCTCCCCAGCACCGCGTCCCTCCTCCTGCTGCTCTCCACACCATCCCGTCATGCTGCTGGTCTCTCCCTCACTCCCTGAGCCTCACCTCATCCTGCTCCTGTCCGCTCGGCAGCCCTTGGTTGGGCTGAGAGTGAGCCTTAGGCTCCTCTTCCTTCAGCATCTCCATGTCCGGAGACCAGAGAAAAGCACCAAGTCGAGCTGCTGCCTCCTGACAGAGCTGCTCTCCTCGGAGTGAGCACCCGAGGGCTCTGGCCCTGCCAGGAGCTGCGGTTACCCGTCCACATCACAATGGCCTCTGGGCGTGGTGTCGCCCAGCCATCACAAAGGCCTGGCTGTGGCTGTGGGCCCACAGAGGCCCATGTGCTCGCAGCTGCCCTAGGGATAGCAGCTGGCGTGCCCACAGGGAGGCCCGGGTCAGCAGGGTCCCCTGTGTTCTTCTGCCGTGCCTCCCTTTGCTCAGCCCCGTGCTCCTCTGTGGGCTCTCCCGTGCCTCCGACACCCCCATGTGCTGGGCACCCGAGACTGGGCACAGCTCTCTCAAGGCCGCCCGTGCTGGTGAAGTCTTTCCACCTAAAGCATGTCCTGTACCACCAGGGTGCTGCCCTCGTCCAGCAGTGCCCCTCCAGTGGCACTCCATTCCTGTTTTTGGAGCTGCTGGTTCCCACTGTCCCACAAGGGGGGTCTGCCCCCATGTCTGGACTAGCATCCACCTTCTCAAGCCATCTCTTGCTAAAGAATCGTAGAATGGCCTGGGTTGGAAAGGCCCACAGTGATCATCTGCTTTCAACCCCCTGCTGTGTGCAGGGTCGCCAACCAGCAGACCAGGCTGCCCAGAGCCACGTCCAGCCTGGCCTTGAATGCCTCCAGGGATGGGGCATCCACAGCCTGCTTGGGCAACCTGTTCCAGTGCCTCACCTCCCTCTGTGTGACAAACTTCCTCCTCAGATCCAACCTAAACCTCCCCTGTGTCAGTTGAAAACCACTCCTTGTCCTGTCACTATCCACCCCATAAACAGCCATTCTCCCTCCTGTTTGTACGCTCCCTTCGAGTACTGGAAAGCCACAATAAAGTCTCCCTGGATCCTTCTCCAAGCTAAACAAGCTCTGTTCCTTCAGCCTTTCTTCATGGGAGAGCTGCTTCAGCCCTCTGGTCATCACAGTGCCCGCCCTCCCTTTCTGTGTCCACCCTGGAAGGTGGTACCTACAGCCTGTCTCTGGTTCTCAGTGCCCGGTCGACAGAAATGCAATACCTGTGAGCAGAGCGCATGGAGCTGCAGTCAGGTGTTCTACTCAAAAACTTGATCAGGTCTCTGGTACCGGAGAACAACATCCCCCGCTCCACAGTCACGCCTCACTCGCGCCATGGCTGCTTGGCAGGACGTGCATGCGTGAGCAGCTGCTCTCAAGGGTGAAGCACAGCAGGAGTAAAACTTGGTCTAAACTCTCTGAGCAGCACCTCGAGAGCTCCCTGAGAGCTGCTGAGATGGCCATCAAGCCCGAGTGACACCTTGGTTTGTGGGAAACCGAGGCAGCCCCTCTTCTGTGGGGGCAGCCCGGGCAAGCCAAAAGGCTGGGCACCCACAGATTAGCTGCTGTCTTCCCACGGAGGAAATACACACCCATAAATAGTGGAGTTCCTGGCAAATGTCGGCGTGTAGTTTAGCTCCCATGCAGACCTGGAAATTGCCTCTGCCATTAGCAGCAGAGCATTTGTGCCAAAAGCAGGCAGAGGACGTCTTCTTCAGCGGCTGGGTAGAAGCACAGGAAAGTCCTAGCAAACGCAGCCTCATCAAGGTTCTGGTGTGTTTTGTGAGCAGAAGCGGAGCAGAGGGGCCACTCTCAAGCAAGTCACTGCTGTTGCCCGACTGCACAGCCCTCAGGCACTGCCCGCGTCTCCTCTCCCCTCCTGCTCTCTGCCTCCTGCTCCCTTCTTCTGAATCCAAGAAATTGATGCTTAGAAACTTAATTGCAAAGTTTTGTCGCTCTTCAGTCAGGTATTCTTTATTAGCAGCACCAGGAAGCATTAGGCATATGTGCACCAGAAGTGCAAGATTACATGATTCTGAGTCCATTATATTTACACAGATGGTACATATTCATCAATTACATGTGAGACAATTAACATATACACACCTATCTGAGGTAGTGATTTATGAGGTTTCCAGTCCTCTATTCTTCCGCCCAGCATCCTTTTAGCATCCTGACTGTCCAACCAACAGCCTTTTACTTCATGCAGTGGTCTTCCTTGCTTCTCTACTAGACAAACTTTCTTCCTTGGCACAGACTCAGTAGGAGAATGCCTATTAGAAGTAATTCATAGGTACCAAAATCGTAACATTTGCTTACTCAGGACTTGGATGTTATTTCTGGACATCTGCTTGTTCTTGGATAGAGAGAGGTTAGGCAACCTCTTTTAATGAGATATACTGGGGTGCAGCCTGTTTTTTGGTGGTATATATTGGGGTGTTAGAAGATGAGGAAGATAGAGGGGGTATCTTGGCGTCTGCCTGTCGCGTCCCAACCTAATCCCAGAGTGAGACAACGCAGCCTTGTGTGGAGGCCCTGGCTTCATTATTGTGTTTCTGTTGCTGAAGCTCTCTTGTAAAAACAGCCTTACAGCATGCTGTCTAGTCTACGGGCCTACATCCATAACTATTTGCAACACTAAAAACTAATACAGTTTGCAAGCAAGAAATAATCGCATCATACAACAATTCAACAACCATGTTTCTAAAAATATGCTAAAATATGCTAAAAATACTAAAAGATACGGCACATCAACTTTTTCAAATCAGCTATTTCTAAAAACACGTACAAAATACAGTGAGGCCTGTTTCTTCAAACCAATTCCCCCTTTTTCAGTCAGCTTGGGAATACTTTGGCAGAATCTCATATTGCTCACGCTTGATGACTGCTGGCAGTGCCCGAACCTTGTGGGTTTGTCCCTTAAGTTGATACCAATAGAAACAGTTTGCAATTGTTAACATCCGAACTATCAGCAGTAAGGTAACAACGGCCGGATTAACATGTCCAACGCTTCTGACATCATCGGCGAACACCCTACAAAGATGCCCCAGCAGTGGCGAGCCGTCTCTGCCTCAATTTGCCCTGAGGTTTCTTTTAGTGCGTTTTGGGTGATTATCGTTTTCACCGGGGATTCGCGTTACCCGTTACTCTTTTGGACGTATTCTTTGAACGACTTCTTCTCATTCAGAACTTGAACCTACCACTGCCGCACCGCCCCGCACCGCCCGGCCGGCCGTGAGCCGCCCTCGTCGAGCCCCCCCTTCTTCGCTCGGCTGCGCTCGCTCCGCTCCGCCCGGCCAAGCCGGACCGGGCACGGCCCGCAGCACCGCCCCACGGAGGCCGCACCCCTCCGGACGGCGGCGCCGCGCAGCCCCGCGGGGGCCATGGCCACCTGGCGGCGGGACAGGCGGCTGAGCGGCCCGCAGCGGTTGTGCTGTGCGGGGCTGGCGGGCGCGCTGAGCCTCAGCCTGACGGCGCCGCTGGAGCTGCTGACGGTGCTGGCGCAGGTGGGCACCCGGCACTGCGAGCGGGGGCTGCTCGGCGCCGGGCGCGGCCTGTGCCGCACCGAGGGCTTGCGGGCCCTGTGGAAGGGGAACCTCACCGCCTGCCTGCGGCTCTACCCCTACAGCGCGCTGCAGCTCGCCGCCTCCCGCCGGTAAGCGGGGAGAGGGTGCCCGGGCCGGGCCGCGCTCGGAGGGAGCGGGGGGGCACCGCTGTGAGCGCTCTGCGTGCGGGGCTCCGCGGGGCCGCTGCTGGAGGCGTGCGGTGCGTGCCGCTGGGTCCGGCTGAGCCCTGGGGCCGCCCGGAGCGCAGCTGTAGCGCTGCTCGCTCCTCAGTGCGGCGCTTCGGTCATCCGGACATCAGAAAGGAAGTCGGGATTCGGATCTTTCCCTCTCCTGCTGTTCGGTTCCCGTCGTTCTTGAAGGTGATGCGCCGCCTTACTCGCTTTAACGTCTCCGTGCCGGTGCTGACTCGGCAGCAGGTCGCGCGGCGGTTCGGGCCCTGGGAGCTGGGGGTTCTGCCGCTCGCAGCGCTACGGCTCGTTTCTCGTTCCGTTGTGCTTTTGAGGGCGGCTGCGTGCAGGCGGAGTGCTGCAGGCACGGGACGGGTAGCTGCGGGGATCCGGCACGCAGCGCAAAGTGCAGCACACGTGGAACAGCGTCGGCTGAGCGAGCAGCGGCTTGTATGTTGTTGTCGGTTGTTTTGCCCTGGATGAACGAAAAAAGCGCTTCAGAGACAGAACAGCAGGCACGGGGCTTCTCAGAAGGCCCTGTGATGGATGCCTTGTGAGAAAAGCTGGAGACCCGCTTCTCTGTCGGACAGCTGGTGGCAGAGCTTTTCGTACGGGCTGCTTCTCCGTTACGGTGATTTTCAGCCTGTAGATAAACTGGCGTTCTGTGGATGAAAAGCACTTTGGAAATTTCTTGCCAAGCAAAGAAGTAAACTGGGGGAAGTGGCTCCTCGCTGTATCTTTGCAGCTTTTGTTGTTGTTGAATTGGTGCTCTGGTTCTTCACAATGGGAAATTGCAACTCTCTGCGTGTTCAATGTTGTTCAGTGTGTGCTGGGTACTGTGGTGCAGGTGGAGCTACACAAGCTGCCCTCAGAAAGCTCCTTCAGATACTGGAAGCATCTGAGCTCATGAAGGCTGCAGGTAAAGTGAATGGCATGTGGGAGCTGTGCACTCCAGCCACTGACCTTGCTGTTGACTCCTACTTCTGTGTTTCTGCGAGAGCTCTTGGGCATGTTGTTTTTATTCCGCTTGTGTTTTCCGTCCCTATGTTCTGATTCACAGAGACCTGATGCTTGTATGGTGTTAGAGAAGACAGGGAGGTCTTGGATTCGGTACTTACTGAGGTTTCATCTCCTGCTACTGGAGGAGCTTGTGAGCAGAACAATTACATGGGATCATATTCTACAATTCTAATTGTATCAAGAATGATCTGCCTTCTTATTTCATGGTGGTTTTTTTTCTTTCTTTCTGTTGCCATTTGCCGTTAATGATATCTCTTTTATGCTTTTACTGTAGACTTGTTATACTTTTCACGGATGAGTTGGGCCATATTTCCCACTGGAGAGCTATCATAGCAGGAAGTTTGGCTGGCATGGTTGCAACTGTTGTGACTTACCCTACCGATGTAATTAAAACCCGGCTTATTGTGCAGAACCGACTGGAGCCATCTTATGAAGGAATTCTTCATGCTTTTTACAAAATTTATCACCAAGAAGGACTTCTTGCACTTTATCGTGGTGTAACGCCAGCTATATTAGGTAAAATAATCTTGGGGAAAATGACCTAATTGCACACTGTTTATTGTAGCTATATCATGCGTTTGCTTGCTCACTTGATTTCAAAACAAATGGCAATGTTGCTCCATGGAAGGCATGTGGGTTTACAAGGCACAACAATACTGATCTTTGCTGCTGTTTTATTCCTTCAAATTATGACCCAAATCGTTGCATTTCTGCATGGTTAAGCACTGTCAAAATAGTTTCCTTTTGTAGGTAATGCAGTTGTGCCTCAGGTGCAGGATTTCTCTTGTTTAACTCTTCAAAAAATGTAAGCATGCCATATCTGTGATTCCTGTCAGGGTTCGTCTCCCTGGCTGCTTAGTGAGACCACTGTGAGCAGCAGTGTGTAATCAGCATGAAGATTAGTGATAGTTTCTCTTTACATGAAACAGCTATTTAATTATTTTCCCTCAACAACTTTTTAAAATGCCATTGGATTTCATCTGCTTTTTCATAACGGAATGTTTAAAAAAAAAATCTGTAGTTATAATGTGGAATTGCACTATGAAATTTAGGAGAGCAGAAAGCAAGCAGGAGAGGACAGAAGCGTTCTTCATCTGCTTGACAGAAGAGGCAGCTCTGTTTACCCATACAGGTGCTGGGGTTGGGTTGGACCACAGATGGAGCTTGTTGCAGAAGAGCTGTCTTGTTGTGAGACTTGACAATTTTAGTGTGCAAATATGTACCAATATGTCACCATGCCTAGATGCTAAACTGTGAGGGTTTGATGGCAGTTTTCTAAGTACTGATCTAATTTGAGCAGTGTGACCGGTAGGCTGGCAGCAGTTTGTACTGTCCATCTAGGCTATGTAATGAGAGCTGTTTTCTTCGTGCACAGTGTGCTAATATCAACCTCTGCGTGGTTTGCTTTCTAGGTGCCGTCCCATTTTCCATGGGCTCATTCTTTGTTTACATCAATCTGGACAGAATCTGGCGAGAACCCGTAGTTTGTTTTACTCCCCTTCAGAACTTCATAAATGGCTGTGTAGCAGCTGCTGTGGCACAGACGCTTTCTTTCCCCTTTGAGACTGTCAAGAGGAAAATGCAGGTACAAAACGCTGATGTTGCTGTACTTTGTTAGAGGAGCCTGTTTCGGGAGCTTGGGATGAGGATAGCCATTACTGCCTTGTTTCTCGTACCACATAGGCTACAGATGCTCTGGTTTAGGTGGGTTGTGTTTTTGTCTTGTCTTTGCTTTTAAATATCTGAAAATTCATTGTTTTGAGACTGTTGTTACACTTTGAATGTAGGTTTGAGTATGCCATGTGATTTGTGTTTCCTTTCGGACTCTGTCACTAGCTTTATTACTTCTTCATATAGTTCTGTCAAATTCTCACCCTTCAGAGCTGGCAAATCTTCTGTCTAATACAAGCATTTCATTCATTTGGTATTAGCTAGGATGAATGAGATCCGTGCCATTTCCAGTTTTGGTGTGTCTGCTGTTTATGCCTGGCATATGTGTGGGTAATCAGAAGAAACTTGCTCAGCACATATTAAATCTGAAGGATCAGAACCATCCCGACTCTTCTTTCTGACTTCTGTAGTTAATGGAACTTCACAGTTGCTCCCATTATCTTGCTGCTTCTTTTTCCTGAAAGTTTAGTCATAATGGTTAAAAACCAAACCAAACAAAAACCTTCACATCCTACAGCTTCTGTCTCGTTGCCATAATTCATTTGATGCTGTCATCTTTGTCATCTTTTCATTAGAGCTTCACCAGTGAGTGACAGTGAATAGCTGTCATTCTTTGGTGGCTATTTGGCTATGGCATGTGAATTCCTTCTTTCAGCCCAGTTCAGGGAACTGTAAACTTAACAGAAAGCTTTTGTGTTCTTATCCGAAACAATGTCGTTTTGTGTGGCAGCATTTTAGAATCTCCCTTCCCCCATCCCCTGGTGGCTGAGTCACAAGCTAGCAAAAGGTCATCGAGGCTGTGAATTCCCCTCTTCTTCTCCAAGGTTCCCTTTTTCAGACAGAGCTTAGATCCAGTATCACAGAAGCATTCAGTTTCCCTCTTTCCACCTTGTAAAAAAGGACTTCAGCAGAAGTCTTTTTTGAGACCAGCTCTTGTAGGTGATGTGTGCAAAAGGTAAACTTTAAGCTGAGCCCATCGAGTATCTCATAAAACATCTCAGGTAAGAAGCAGGTTCTGGTCATGAAAATGGGTTATTTTTTCAGCTGTATAAATGGGTCTACGAAAATCAGTTGCCTCCTATAACTCTTCCTTTACTGTTAATGCTGAGGTTCACAGCAGTGTTGTTGACTGAAGAAGAAAACATGTAACTGTTTCCCTTTTAATCTTTTTCTATTGATGTTCAGTTACTTAAACGTTCAGTTACTCGGTTTTCGTAATCGCTTCAGCAGTTCCAGGAGTGAGTGGTGTGATGTTCTGTGTCCAGCCTTGTCTCCATAGCCAAGGGGGGCATCATTCATCTTGTTGCCACTAGGCTGTGCTCTTTTGCCAATGGGATGCTTAAAACGCCTGATATTTCCAGAATAAGGAATTGGATTAACTTCCTAAATATGTAGGAAATAGATATGTTAAAATCTGTCCGAAGCAAAGAAATGTTCAGTGACAGAGAGTTTTTTTCCTCATAGATGTGTTGCAACAACTGAATAGCAATTTCCCAAGCTTAAAGAGGCAACACCTGTCCAGCAGTTTATTCTGACAGCATGGGAGAATGCAGCTGTCAAGATGTGACAGCCTATAAGTCATCTGGTACTGAAGGTGACTCACATAGGCCTGTCTGGAAATGAGATCCTTTGAAAATTGTGCCCAAGCTGATATAAAGCAGGGAATGGATCTCCTGTAACATGATCCAAGAAGTGTTTTTCACGGTTAGCATCAGGGTGTTGCTCAGCCTTGCAAGGGTCAGCTCTTCAGTGTGCATGCGTGCTGGTCTGCTCAGCCTGGAGGGAGATGGTCAGAAAGCAGGAATGATCAGAGCAGCAGCAGGATGGGTATCATGCAAAGGGGCATGAGAAAGGAGAGAATAAAGCAGGGAAAAACAGAGCTTTGAGGCATTTCAGCGTTCCATAGAGAACAGGGGAACACATATCTCTGAGTTCTTGTTTTCCTCAGCCATTTTATTCTGCTCAGCTTCCATTCAACAATTCCATTTTCTAGCTGATAAGAAGAGGGGTGTCCCAAAGCCTTTAGCCACTGTTGAAACTCGTATGAGTTTCCTTCTTGGTTTTGAAGCCATAAGCACTAGTTTTGTGTATGGAGAGGAACCCTGCATGTTGTAGAGGTTGTAGATGAAGGCAGCACATAGCCAAAGACAACTTCCAGTGACCCCACTGGTGATGAAGAAGCAGGTTACAAGGCAGTCTCAGGAGCTTCAGAAACTAGGCTGTCTTGTCTGATACTGGCACTGAACACAAGCCTGAGCCCAAAACATGCAGTTCAGATCTTTACCTGACATACTGGTAGTCTTGGAAGAGTTGGCTCCATGTGTCTCCAGGTCCAGAAAAGCAAGAATTGTTTGCAAAGATGCAAAATAATATTGCTATGAGAGGAAGCATAAGTACTATTTCTAGCCTCTGTTGCAATCGTTTTGCTTCATCCTTTCTCATTTTACGTATCTGACTCCTACAGTCCTTATGTCAGCAGCTTCTGTCATTGGCATCTGTGGGAACAGAATCGGCCCGTCAGCAGATGGTTCTCTCTCTTTGCTTTGGTGATGATTTATGATGTCAGTTTTTCTCTGTAACCATGGTTTCTTCCTTGTCTGCTGCTAGAATTATCTTTATCATGTTTATTTTTTTCTCCAAAGATGCTTTGTTTGGTAAATGAGCTTGATTGACTTTCTTAAATGAGACATTAATTAATGTGGTTGAGCCTTACTGAATGTGAGCGCTCTCTGTTGTGACTGTCCTAATTTTATTCCTTTGTCTTCCTTTTTTTGCTTTGCTCCTGATTGGAAGTTAGAGAATTAAGAGGTACTGTGTGCATGTTTCAGCATGGAATACGGCTGTTGTTGTGCATCTGTAGAAGGGGGATATGGAAGAAGAGGGTTGTTCAGAGGGACATATTGCAGTAAATACTTTCCTGATTCATGCTTTTTCAGCTTCTGACACTTACGATCTGTGTATCCTTCTGACTGTTATTCTTGCCTTTCCTTTCTCATTTCACAGTATCTTAAGTGCTGTTCAGTTTTACCTTGTCAGCTTATTTAAGTGCATACAAGAAAACTTCTAAGCCTGGAAATACCTGCCTGTAAAGGAGCCTGTGTCTTAGGGAAGCACTGGTAATATTCTTCTCCTTTCCCACGTCATCTTTTTGTCTGCGATGACTTTCTGGAGTGCTCAGTACACTGAGCTCTGGTATTTCAGCCAAGAAGGTTGGATTTAGAGCTTTACATGCCATGCAGAATATTATTAATACACTGACAGCAGCCCTAGGCTGTGTGCAGAGCTCAGTATCTATAAACATGCTAGAGGGCCGTGCAAACCTAATACTCAAGTTTGGCCTTTCCTTCTCTGCATGTGGCCTCAGTGGTAGGCTCAGCTGCCCCTGGCTGGCACTTCTCAGCTTTCACTACACGTTGATGTGTGACTTGGGTGGTATGGGGAGGCAAAATGCACAAGGATGGCCCTAAAGTCTTGTGAGTCATCAGTTGTTACAGGTACCTCTCACCTGCCCATGTGAAGAAACTTTGCATGCATTGCAGAAGTTCTGTCCTGTGCTTGCATTTTGCTGGTATTGTTTATTTTAATTTCTGTAACTAAAAGTTGTCTGCACTCTCTTTTTTTTGCAGTAGATGTTACTCAGGGACAGCCATCAAACTCTTGTAAAATAAAATAAACATACTACACTAAAGGATTTGGCACATTTGAGGACATCTCTCAGTGTAAGGTGTTCAGTATGTCTGATCCTCCTGTTCTAAAATCCAGGCTGTGAATTCCCTCTGCCGCTGTAAACAAGCAGGTTTGTTGTTCTTGGTTAGCATAAAGTGCTGCCATGCATCTCCCAGGAAGTGGCCTCTGTTCAGACAGAAGTGGATCAGTCAGACCTCAGCTGCCTGTAAATCTGCAGCACAGGAAGGGAAGAGAGGTTGTCAATGACTTGGGATTTGTTTATTTTTTTTGCTCCTTTGGAACACAGGATGCAGGTGTGAAATTTGTTGTAAATGATGGAAATGCTTTGAGTTCTTTGTAACCTAAAAAATCAGAGGTGCTGGCATGGCAGCCTCGGGGAGCTCGCAAGCTGCTTTACCCTGCTGTGTGTGAGATCTGTGGTGCTCTCAGATGGGAATTTGTTACTGGAGCCATGACCCGGTTTAAAAATAAAAAGTGCCTTTTGGGTCATGTGGTTCACATGACATCTCAGAAGCATACGTGCTGTGAGACTTTGTGCAGGGAGACCGTGTAGCAGTGAACTGCACAGGAGCCTGAGTCTTGAAAATGTTCAGAGATGGATTTGGGAACAAATTCCGTAGTGTGTGAGACAGCAAGGAGCAATATTGCCACCTTTAGTTATGATTTCCTGTTGAAGTAAGGCTTCTATAGTAAGGATTCTGCTGTTGGTCCTTGCCCCTGGTAACTTTTGATCCTGCTGTCTGATTTCAACTCAACAGAGGTTTCACTGATACTAATTTCCTTCAAATTGTGTGAAAGCGAGTGCACAGATAGAAATCAAATTCCAAAACTCTTGTACCTGAGGGGGAAGTGGCAATGTGAATTCCTGCCTTTCTTCTCCCCATGATCTCACGCTCCTCTTCCCCTTGCTGCCAGGTTTCAGGACTGCATGTTCTGGGTGTTACTTCAACTTAGGACCTGCCTGGCTGCCCTGTTAACCAGTAGTTACTAAAAATCAGATTCTGGTTTTGGTAAAATCCCTTCCTTTGTCCCTGTGTCCTTCTCCCCCTATGCCCCTAATGCTTTCAGCTTCTGGCATTTTTATTGTTTCAGTGTTGCAACAAAGATGTTTCACACCACAGTCTCTGAGGGTATTGCAGGGTTAGTGCCCTGCTGCTTTGGGAAGTGCTGGTTGGAATACACAGCAAGACAGTGCCTGAGAACAGCTGCATGAGAGCACTGCGGGCCTTGCATGCTGTAACA